AACACATATATTGTGCCGCTTCTTTGAACTCATACGCGTACTTCACCTATGATCGCAGTTGTTCAAAACGAATTCCTATATCCGAAATATTCTCGTAATCATAACGTTTCGATAAACTAAGCTTCATCTCATGACATTTCCGATTTCTGAATTATTCTCTTTTCATTCACTCTTCACTACCATCATCTCGCCTCCAAATGACTAGAGTAAAATCTATTCGATTTTGTGAATCTTAAGAAACTTAAAACTGAAATGCGTTAAACGTTGCTTTATGGTACGTTTTACATGTCATAAAATGCCTTCAGTGCTCATATTCCAAAATGTGTGTTGGATCATCGATTGGGAGAACATGAAACTTTACTGAAGTATACATTAGAGTCTCTTATTAGTATCTCAAAATTTCACTTCTGCAAAACAAGTTGAGTTTTCAAAGTCTTTCATATTATAGGTGTCACAATTTTATCCATCTATGGCTAAATAAATAGCTCTGAAACTGCATAAGATGCTACATTGTTGTCTCTTTTCGTTAAATATGTTTGCATTAGTTTCTCACGAATTTGTCTCTTGTTACTGTTTCTTATCTACCTGTAATATATTGCACAACAATAATGAAAGTTCCTAAAGTTTATTTAAAGAATGTTTTCCTATTAAAACTTAATAAGATCTGTTCACTTTCCAGTACACAAAATAATGAATTTAGTCTATCTTCCAAATCTTGGTTTCAAACTTGATTCAACAAGTGGTGTCATTATTAAATGGGGTAATGAACGAGAAGAAATTAGACATTTACTAAATAATTCACATACAGCAGATGATGATGAAGATTCTGGACAAAAACGAGATATTTACCAAAATGCAGGAGAATTAATGTTCTTAAATTATGATGAATCAAATTATTTAAATGAACTTGAAATACATAGAGGAGTAGACATAAACATCAATGATATTATATTAAAGTTTGGAGATGATGTAAGTGATATTCTGAAAAAACTTCAGTTGTATGGTGAATATAAAATATTAGATGATGGTGGTACATTTTTATTTCCATCATTGAAAATGACGATTGGAAACGGGGCATCAATGGGTGGTGAAGAGGATGATAACAGTTTCGAATATTTTTATGTAGCAGCAAATATCGATCATTTAATGGAAGATTAGCCATAAATACTTGTTAAAAATTCAACTAGTTATGATAATGTCGAAATTGTATCTCAGCTCCTAATAAATCTTTATGTTCTTTAGCACTTTTTACTACAAACGCACCATCCTCCGATAAATATTCACAAGTATAACTACGCACTTGCTTTATTTAGTATGTGCCAAGCGTGAGATCATTTAACTGATTAAATGTTATTTTACGAAAATCATTTAAAGTATCCTTAGCGTCAATCATAGTCCATTTTAGTGGTTTTAATGTTTTATCTTTTACTTTTACAGAACATTCTTGCAGTATATTAGATTCATCCACTCGAGCCGTCATTTTATCTCCTAGAGCTTTATCTTTTGTTACATCAACAACATATCGAGGCCTATACGCATTAACTAATGCCAAGATAATTTCCGAGTTTTTCAAAATTGTGTTTGATATGACTTTATCAAACATTTTCCAAGTTTTTAAACGCTTGTTAATCCGCCTGTAAATTTTGTAAATATAGGGCGTGCCAAGACCTCTTCAGAAACCACGCTTCACTAGAAATGTTTTATGGCAAAGTCACCGGAAAAAGATGCACTTCAAAATGCCAGTCTTTGTCATGTGCAACTCACGTTGTTACGTGTAACACGTGTGATTTCTTAAGAACACTTTTGCTTGTTAACTGCAGCACAATATGTGCCTAAAAAGTAAATTGTAAAATTATCCACGTAACGTTATCCTGTCAATTGAAGTAAAAATTATATTATCCAAATGCATGTGGACGCTAGATGAAATACAAAAGTTTACCCTGTAGTTTCTACTACATTCATGGGAGGTGTTTGTCCAGGGCAAGCAGGAACACTTATCGCACTCACAAAAAATGTAATGCAGTATTGTGTGGATTGCAGTTTATTGTTACAAGAGAATAAGTATAAAGGGGTGGACGCAATAGAGTACTCGGATCTTATATTGCGTCATAACGCTCACAAACTGTAGAATGGTCGTCCCTAAAAAAAGCCGGTTTTCAGTTAAAATTGAGAGCTTAAATTCGATTCCATTCTCTCCCTCTTCGCTGCTGCTGTAGCCTAACCCCGAATCAATTTTAACAAAATCATCGTTTAATGTTTGTGGTAAATCATTGATTGCAATATCAGAATCAATGTAACTGCTGTCTGAGTCTCCTTCATTTCCTTTTAACGCGAGTTTAGCGTCAAAATAGCGCGCGAAACTCTGTTTACGAAAAATTGAACCTGTATTCTTGCCACGAAATGAAGCAGGAATGCTTCCGGTAGTTCCAGTTCAGAAGCGATTTATTAATTCGAAAAATTTCTTGATTAGTTTACTTCCGAATATATCATATAAGCTTCATAGGTTATCGATGATCTGACTGCTTTTTACTGCTAGCATGGAAAATTAAAATTTATATAATGCAGTACGAAATATCTGAAATATTCAAAATATCATTCGTGTTCTGGCAACGCAGCAGATTTTGCCTGGTGAGATACACCACGGCAAACTGAAAACTTAACTCATTGTTCTTATAGATATACATCGTAAAGTGTTCCCTATTGAAAACCGTACTTCCTTATCTTTTTCCAATGATATGTAATTCAAAAAACATCCGCATACACTATATAATTTGAAATGGAAAATTTTTAGGATAATACCTATAGCGAGAGAGCGCTTTATTAGCAATCTTGAAACTTCAGTGTTAGAATTTTCTGTTAGCGAAGTAAAATAAACGAAGTGATCGTTTCTCCTCATATATTTGTAAATTTTCCGTTCATGGGAGTAGTTGTGTCCATGGCAGTCTCCCATAACAGATAGAGATAGTCTTTTTTTAAAAGGTTTTGATGAATCAACATTCAGAAGTGGAGAAGTGTCTGTCAGGAGATGGATCGTGAATGATAATCGACCCTTTTTTAGTAAAGGAAGAAGTTCTATGATATCAGATTTTTTAGTTCAACATCCATCTTCATCTCTCTTTCTTTTGAGTGATCAAGAGTGAACTAGAAAATAAAAGGACTAAAAAACACGGAATTAAGCTAGGCAACTGTTATGGACTCGGACATCTATGGACTTCGGTCCGAAATTCGATCTACCGACCTTTCATATGTTGCACTTCTCCCACTACGTATTTTCTCATTGCATTAAATTGTGCAAAAGGAAACTACGAGTTATAATGATACATTCGTATGAAGGCTGTACACTTACGTATAAATTTAAATAGTCTTTACAAGTGTTCACTCACATGTTACACAGTGAACAATCAGGCCGACATTACGAGAAAAATCGAAAGCAAGATTTTTTAAGATCTGAATAGTGTCATATATACACTACTGAATGACCGATCTAACAGCGAAAACATTTTGAGCCAAATGCATAAGATGACCGAGAAAGCCAAGCGTCAATTTTTGGCTGGTTTTAAGCTCTATAAAAAAATTCTTGTTTCCTGACAAGAGAAAACACATTTAAAATTTGAAAGATATATATTCTGAAAGCTAATTGTTTGAGCTATCGAATGGTAAAAAAAGGTCTCAGGTTGCCTCTTTTCTGTGTGAGTGAACTTAACTTTTTTCGGCGCTAAGTGTTTTTTCAAAAGCTGCACTCAGCAAAGTGAGTACGCGAGGGTTAGCGAAGGTCCGTCGACGCTGAAATTTTTAGCAGTTATTTACCTGGAAGTGGGCAACCTACAAAACTAGCAAAAAGTTGCAATTTGTTCAAGTTCGGACAGATTCGAAATCAGCGTGAAAAACTGCATATAATCATGTGTCTTTCGTCCACTTTCGACGAACTCTTGCTGAAGTTTGCTGGAAACAGCGATTCTCCAAGGTTTTCCTCTAAAGCTGTAGCTGATGTTTTAGTATGGCATCTTCGAGCTTCCAGAAACTGTGAAAACCAGTTTTCGACCATGGCGAATCTAATGATGCAGTTCAAAAACTTTTAAAGTGGTTTTCTAAAGGGTTTCCAGAGATCTGGTCTCTGGAAACACCTTCAAAAAACAGTTTTTGAAGATTTTCTGGTCTCCTTAGAAAGAGCATGTCCGAAAACCTACAAAAGCAATATGTCGAGTGAAGAGGAATTATGTTGTACCAAATGTCTGCCTGCCTATGGAAAATTGCCCACTGTGTGTTACTAGCTATACTATGCATAAATATCGACCTTATTTTTAGTGTGGCCATGGACGGAACAGTTGCGTCCATAATAGTCCCTGTTCAGCAGCTTGTCGTACTTCTCTTACAATGATTCTCAGGTGTAGGTATGTCAGTTGTCTTATTGACTTTGTTCCCGAGCATCTACTTTCACTGCTTAGCTTTGTTTTTAAACATAATTTTTGCCTGTAATGTTAAATGTTTCTTCATTACTCATGGTTTCTAAGCATAATAAAGAATTTTGTCTTTTATTTAAATGTGTACTTTATTATTCTCAAAAGAAAAGAAAGAAAAAGTAAACTTTTTTGTTCTTTATCCCTTAACACAGAAATGAAACTAAATTAAAAAGCAAAAAAGCCTCTTTTTGTTTTCTTCACCAAAAATATGAAAAAAAAGAATAATTCTCAATCTATCACATGTCGGATATTTTCAAGCGTGATGTACACTAGTGGGGGAACGAATATTACTACCACTGCTTCCTAACTTACGAGGAAACTGCCGTTGGTCGCAAATCGCTTTTGCGATGAAATTAAGTGGACTATAGGTCAACGGTGCTGAATTCGAATATAGTACTCATTTAAGCTGCAAGGCCTTCTCGACTGGTTTTCTGGAAAACCGACTTTCGAAGGTGAAAATCTGTTTTTTTCGAAATCAATTTTCTGATATCTCTGGAATGTAGAGCATATCGAGCTGGCTACGTACATGAATTTTTTCGATTACAGCTTAGCCTCTTCATGTACTGGTAGAAAAAATAAGCAAATTTGTAATTCTCCTTGTGATATTAATATTTCTTGTAAAAATGTTAGTTGTGATACTAAAAATTGAAATTAAATCACATAAGCTTTTTATCTGTAGGATTCAATAAAAGATCTTTAATATTTTTCATTAATCAAAATTCTATATGTATGTTTTTATTTCTAAAAATGCTTTTGTTTAATTTTCAAAACGGCTGGCCATTATTGAAAGTTGCGGGTCAACTATTTCTGGCCCTTTTGTAAACTGACCGGTCCATTTGCATATTGGCCAAGAAAATTGTGACCAATTTATAAACAGGCAATGAGATCGGGTCTATTTACAAACTGGCCGGTCATTTTATAAACGGATCACTTTTCCAAATTGGTCGCAACACATACATTTGGCTTCAAAAATTCTAAAACATTATGTCTTGAGACTGCTTGGAGAAGACGACTCGTAAAAGAGAGTCTGTTTACAACGGAAAGTCACGGCCAATCATTACATGTAGTGAAACACAAACTACGAGTATTTTAAATCATTCTGTATAGCCATCTTCAATACAGACTACGTTATTTTCTATATCTCTCCTTATTAAAGAAGATGTTTTTCCGAATGCATATGCGCTTGTCCACGTAAAAGTCCGCTTTTACGTAAGTCCGTAACGTTTTGTGAAAGGCGTAGCTCTTCCGCTGAGCAACGCAACGTAAAGAGTTAGAGTACATCTTATTTTGTAGCTGATTTTTCTTTGACATGGTAATTAACCAAAGTCTAGCAGTTGATTGATTTAAGTAACATAATGTTTTTGATAGATGCCATTTTCGTACAAAATGGCTTTATGGTCACGAATTATAAGTATTTGTTTAGGGTAGACTTTGCTTAATTACTATTTGGAAGAAAAATCTTTCAGCTACAAAATAAGACGTTCCCCTTCTGCACGTTGCTCGGCTGAAGAACTATGACTTTCACAAAATGTTTCAGACGTACATTTTTTGGCTGGTACAGGTGAACAGGCCGATATAATGTCCTTCGAACATCTGTAAAAGACACGTTTTTTCTTCTGTTATTTTTTGCACTAATTAGAATAGTGCATTCTTTTTGTCATTTTGTTTCCTGACGGTGATGACAGTAAGCCATCGAAAGCTCGAATAAAATCATAGTGAGTTTAGAAAAATTCTAATATGTATTTCGTAGCAGTCATATATACTCAAGTACTTATTCTTTATTAAAAACTGCTTTACCAAAATCGTTCTATAAATGCGTTTTTTCGAGTGAAAACACCTGGCAAGAAGCGGTATATTAAAAGCATTTTTATTGTTCTAACCAACAAAATAAGCCATGTTAATGAAGCTGTTGATATGATGTTGCAGGTTTTCAAATAAGATATGAGCTACATACGTCGGCTACTTAATTGTAGATAAAATGTCAAATAGTGATCTTAGTAATAATAGACCACTTTCTGAGACAACGAAAAGTTTTTAACGTTATCATTATATTTTTTTATCAACAAATCTCCTACAAAGTGCTTCAACAACAATTTTTTCTGTTTGTGGAAACAAATTAATTGTTCCATCATCTTCGATCAGTTTGAATGTACCATGTGTTTCTCGATAAACATTTTCCTTCTCAATATTCAGTTGAGTATATACCCAATTTGTATATGGTAGTTCGTTATTTGCTAAAATCATTGCAGACACCTTTTCAAGTATCAATTTAACGATGTCATTTTTTTCTCGAATATTTGCTCGATTATTTACTGCTACATATCGTTCGCCACATTGTTGCATGAGTCTTTCTAAACCTGGTTGACGTTGTTCTAAAAATTTATCTACTGTTTTATCATCCGCCATCAAATTATCTAAACCAGTGAAAATTATTAAGCAATAGTTTAATGCACGTTTTCCAAATATTTCACTTATCCATTCAGCTGCTCTTTCTTCTTGAATTGTAAATCGACCAAATTCAAGAACAATCAAAAAGGCATGTGGACCGGGTAATGTAATCTGATAAGACCGTGCGATTTCCTGACATGTTTCTTTCGTTGAACCTTTCGTATCAAAAAACCCAGGTGTATCAACAATAATTAAACTTTCGTAATTATCACAATTATTTAATGATCTGACACCAACTCCGCATTTATTTGTAATGGAATACGACGAACATTCTGCTTTAAATTGTTTTTTATTTAATAATAAATTCCCAACAGAACTCTTTCCTGCAAATAGAAGAAAATTATCAGCTCACTGGAATCAGAACTCATTCTGCATTATGATACCAGTTCCCGTTCGTCCGAGTAAAATAAGACGAATTGCAGTTGGATCATTTAAACAATTTGATATTTCATCGACAGAACAGTCAACTGTAGTCATCTACAAAACACTGCATCTCATTTGTGGAATTCGATTAAAACATTACCTTTTTACGACATATGATTTGCCAGTTGCATACATTCAAGTTTTTATCAGCTGTAACAAACAAAAAATCATTGTAAGTTAAACTTGTTTTTCATTGAGAACGAAAATTTATTAAGTCGTTCTTTATGTTAAATATAATATAATTTAACGAATTGGTTTCAATTGAGCCAAAAATACGGAATTTCTCAAAGCAAATACGATGACCTTATGTACTCACTCATTGCATAGTTTCCCTTGACTATAGTGAAGGATCTTACACAAGAGCCGTGTGTATGTTTGTCCGCAAAGCACGAGAAAATGGCTCCACTTCGCACTTGTGGACAAAGAATGCGGTTTACCATAGTGTCGAGCGAATCGTAGATGACCGTTACCTAGCCCTTCTAAGAAGACATAATGAGTGTAGTCACCCATTTTTACTACTTTCAGTCATTAATCTGATATTCCCCTTCGAAAGGTTCGTATTTCTCACATAGCAACGAGTCAAAAGTTTTACTTTATCTATAAGTCAATAACAGACGAAATGTGAAGTAGAGTAGAACGTGCTTTGTTGCTCTATGAATTTATTGTACAGTTAAAAAACTGAACTCTTGATAATAAACCCTGTGATGCTACTTTAATTTAGTTGCCACATCATTCATTGTACTTTCCATAGCTTGTATGTTTAACTTGAATCGTTTTTGATAGAATCGGTAGAATGATGAAAAACTTGATCAGTTGAAGGTTGTACCATTCTACTTACATCCACCATTTGCATACTGAAGGATGCTGTCTTGTCATTTGTTCTTCGCACGTCATCTTTGATCTGAGCTATATGTGGATGATTAGCAGGAACATCTCCTTCTAGAATCTGAACTGCGTTGTCGTAATTTTCTAACGCTAGATCGTATTTATTAATACACTCGTAAACCATGCCAATTGCACGATATGTAGCTGCTATAAGTCTATGTCTGGAAGGAAGTGATTTTAATTTTATGACCAGAGCCTTTTCATAGTGAATCAACGCTAAATCATACTTTTTTTGAGCATAATACACATTCCCAAGATTATGATGACTCGATGCCAAATGGGGATGATAAGCCGGTAGTATGTTGACATATATTTTTGCTGCTTTAGTTTGATTGTACAAAGCTACGAATTAAACCATTTATGACCTCTGATAAAAGTTTTTCTTCTTTCTGTACACTTGCTGTTACTGATATACTCGCAAAATCGGATCTCTTTAATAGACGTTCTCCAAGTCATATTTCTTTTTGCCGTAATGAGCGATAGCTATGGGAGACAGCCATTCACCACGTGTGTATGTCTTTTTTTATAAAGCCGTTGCTCTGTGGCGTTGCATGTTCTCTCTATGAACATGATTTATATGCATAAACGGCGTTCTCTACTTGTACATAAAATCCGAACGTTCACCGTTGTTATAACAAGAGGCTACGTGAATGTGATCACGACCAAGCGACGGTAACCAAATATCCAAGGCCTTACTGTAATTATCAAGCGCCCTGTCAAAATCTCCATCATTTTTACAAGCAATTCCAATCGAGTGATAACTGATGGCTATATGATGATCGTCTTCTGGCAAGGTTTTTAACCTTAGATATTTCATTTATTATGTCATCTCACATGGTGGATTGTTTCAATTAATCTGCCGCTGCTGCAAACTCTTTCCGCAGAACTGTGTAGATTTTTCACATACGATATATCTACTGAAGACATGGATAGTATGTGAATATACATATGATTTGAAGCCCCTTTTCATGAAAGTTAATGGCAGACTTAAAATCACCCTTATCATCTGCTACATTTCCCAAACCATCATAACATCTTGGCAAATCTGAATCATCTAACTCCAGTTCATTCAAGAGTCGATAATAGTAAATCTCTGCTTTATCATGCTGACCCATCTGTCTCAATAAACTGCCGAATGAGCATAAATCTGTTTCATCACCAATTTCTTGTTTGATAAAAGCAGAGATTTCTTTTAACTCATGAACATCCTCACTACATAGAACTAATTGTGCTATCCAAATATGTTCCATTTTGTTATATTCCACATTTTTAATACGAAATACAGAACCAAGCATAAACAACAGCTCTTCTTTATGTTGAAAATATGTAAACTGGCTAATGTCAGCAAATGGTTTCGAGACTATACTTGTGTTCGCTTCGATTTCAAATAACACGGCTTCAAAATCTTTGCAATCAACGACAGAAGCAGCAAAGCCCCTAGCAATTTCGCGGTTTCGACTCGTTGAAAGAAAACTGTTCATAGAAATAAATTCTCCGATACTTTCACTCATCCTTTTTAATTCTTCTTTTGGCATTGCCTGTCCACGATACGTTCGAACAATTACATTATATTTTTTATTTTGCTGTGCTTGTTGTAATTGTTTATAAATATCGGTAATTATAAAACGAAAATGAAATAACATATCAATATCCTGTAAGCGAAGTGCTTTATTTAGTAAACGATAAATACAACAATCTCGAGTGTACCACCATAATGCTTTCGACGGCTCATACGTTTGTTCAAATTCACCAATTTTTACATGTTCTGCTTCATTTCCCGTATAGATTCGCTTCCAAATAGCAACAAGCCCCTTTCGATCCGATGTTGAATATTTCATGCGAAGAAACACTTCAATCAAAAGCTGGAACCACATAAAATTGCCATTTTCCGTTTTTATAGAGGTATGAGAGCGTCCAGACGGACTAAGAATATTCATTGATGCGCAATTCACATTTTTTCTTGTTACTATCATCATAGGCGTCCAATCTTCTATTCGATCGCGATCTATTTGATCAGACGCGATCTGTGAAATCAGTGTACTGAAATGCGCCTGTACACCTCTCACCTACAATAAAAAAGAAAAGTGAATATGAAGAGGTGAGAGACACGATGCAGCGACAGTACCCCGAACAACATTCCCTCGAATACAAAAAGCGACATTACCACGAAGACTTGTTTATTGCAAAAGACGAATAAATGAGACCGGTTTTGTATCTAGTACATCATGTTTTTAAACTTAACTAAAGTTATGTGGTGACTAGTCAATATGTGACACAGTCACAGATATCTAGCTTCGCATCAAGAAAACATGTTTTGCATGAACCTACTTTTTGAACTCACTCTCACAATGCCCCCCCCCCCCCACACACACCTCCCGCGAACACTGCCAAAATATCCAAATGCGTACTATGAAAATTCGTGGAAGAGTCGGGGTCCTGTTCGCGGAAAGGTCGTGCCACGGGTTCCGCACTGCTATAAATAGTGAGCTTCAGTTTATCGTGTACCGAAGAGAAAACCGGTGAAACATGATAAGCAATGAAATTGCATATCTGTAATTGTATCACATAATGACTATTAACTACAGTACTTCGCCCAGGTTTGAAAACATGATATACAAAACACAAAACCAGACTCACTTATTCTTTTTTTCCAATAAATGAGTCTTCGCGGGAATGTCGTGTCACGAATATATTTGTTAGTATTTTAGGCGTACTCTGTTTCTTATAGACGGTAGTGCAAGAGCAAAGAAAGAAATTTCTTCTACCTTAATAAAATGTTGTGCCCACTCTCTGTGGGCCTGTATATTGAAACAGTAAACATAAATTGCGCTAATTTGACGGAGCTCGTGTACTATTGATACAGTGGATGCGCCCATGCTTCCAGATACAATTAAGACAACTTTGTCATCTTTTACTGATATAATATAATCAATGCATTCGTCTGCTTTATCGAATACTAGTAAAAAGTTGATTGTACTTCTTAATGCTGACTGTGTGTCTAAATTCTCCGGTGTATTGACGTTTGGGTCTAACCAGAGCAATGAAAACGTTTCGAGATTACGTATTGGCGGTTCGGATGTTAAATGTGGACACGAAGCTGTGGTCGTTTGCTGATTTGTCTGGAAATCAATGTTTGACTTGTGCGTCTGCTGTTTGTTAGTGAACGTTTTAATTAGTGATTCGCAATGATTATTGGAAGCCATATAGATACGTATTTCAACGAACTAATGATTTGATAAAAAGCACTACAAATCTCTCTACCACTATTGTTACCAGTACAGCTGGTTGATTGTTTTTTTCACTAACTGGATCTCTTGTACAATTATGATATGTATTTTTACTCAAAGATTGATATTTTGTTCATACTGACTAACTACTATAACAAATCTGAAGTATGCAGAACAAATGCACAGATAATAACGTAGAGAAAAAAGTGCTAATGAATTGTAATAGATGAAGACAGTTCAAGACGTCAGGTGACGGTGGATGTGTTCATAGTAAGTAGCCGATGAAGTAAGTAAGTAGTTTTTTCTACGTGAGCGAAGAGATATAGAGATTTGCGATTTTTAGTTTTCAGAAGTGGACACTTGAGAACGTCGATCTATGGGCATATCACCGTGAAACTACCACTTGCAAGTTGTGTACTTCATAAAGCTTTTTCAGGAGATCGACGGACCCTAACAGATCAGCGTGACATACTGTTTTTATATATACATGTTAAAGCAGCATCTAGTCTACAAATTCCCTTCAATCCCTAGACTTTTATCCGGATTCGGTGATTTTTAGGTATGGGACCTTCAAAATATATCGAAAAACACGTTGTCAGCCACACTGAATCTCGTGGCAATATTCATTTGGCCGAAGAGTTCCAAAGTTCTAGTAAAAATTGATTTTATGTGAAATAACCTATTTTAAGCTATTTCCACCTAACATAGAAAGACTCATATTCTCGCCAAGATTGATCGAATCGATCTCGAAACTATAGAAGTGAGATGAAAGTGTTTGATATTTTTTCTGTTCTATTCTGAATGTTACTCGTTATTATAGATTTGTTATTTTGTTTTCTGTATTGTATGTATTTCTATACCGACAGGCGATTATCGCCTATGCATTTTCTTCTCTAACGCATTAGCGACAGTCGTTTATTCATGAGTTTGCCGTTTAGTTTTGGCTAATTGAAAAAAAAGAAGAAAATACGTTTCATCAATAAACAGCAAAACGCATGAATCATGTGGCTTGCTGTTTATTGATATGCTATCAAGTCACATGACAGCAGAAGAGTAACCACTGGTATCAACTCGAAGTGACTATTCATCAACTGGAGGCTTTCAGACATACTGTTTAGCACACACAAACCTGGAAAAGCATAAAGTTCTCAACAAACGAATCAATGGCTTTTAGCCATAAGGGAATCTTTTTTGTCAGAAGCCAAACAGTTCAATTTAAGGTTTTCTGATTCGAGAATTTCTGAACAGCCCTCAAGACTCGTTTTTTTCATTTACATTTGGAAGCGATAATACTTTGAGGAGAACTCCATGAAGACGATGGAGAAAACGTCTTCCTTAAGCGTAAAGTGTCTACTTTCAGAATCTATATAAATTTGCCTTGTATCGATGCTTTTTGAAAGGTTTCCTAAAGACTCCTTAGGATAAACATATTTGTCCAGGTAATATGTGTATTTCACATCAAATATAGACGTATTATATATATATGAATCGAAAGTACTCATCGACATGCAACCATTGGAGTATGTGGCGACAGCTATGGAAATATGCAGAGCCATTTAGAAGTAGAATGCGCGCTTCAGAGAAGCTGCTGAACGATTTTCTGAGGTCTACAAAACGCGGAACATCTGCTGTTGCTGTAAAAGTGAGTTTTATGCAAAAAAGCCCTTTTTAATAAACGGTTAAATAGACACAACAGAAAAAAATGAGATAAATTATTGTTTGTAGACTTTATGAAAAACAAACGTATACAATATGAATATATTAAAAATAAATAACGAAAATAAGAATATATGTTGTATTTTATTGGTTTTTTCCATTTGGTTGGATAGCACGTATCTAGTTGTATGGGAAAATATCAGTCTTAAGTATTTAAAAACCATTTTGTCGATTTAAAATTTTCAAAAAGATTAAAATATGAAAACTTCATGAATTTTGGCAGGGTTTTTCAAAATGCGCTACATTTTCAGGTTTCACATTATTTTTGATCTTTGAAGTTTTTTCCTAATTCTCCATGTAAAAGTAACTACAGAAAACTAAATTTGGGATATAATATGTTTATGTGACTGCAGGTAAAATCACGTCTTGGGGAAGCCACATACTGCAGTGGATGCAATTCGATGAGTACCTTCGATTCATAAATAGTAGGTCTATATTTTACATCAAATACATATGTTCCTTTGATAAAATATGTCCAAAAACATGTTTTACACTTTTCTCAAAACACGCGTTTTTCAAGGCATGTCCAATGTGGACACTTTTTTTAACAATGATTTATGATAGAAAGACATTTTTTCTTCTTAATTTTGAATGAGCGAAAAATTCTACGTTGACTGATGGGTGTCGGTTTTTGAATTAGGTCTTATTTATTTAGAAAATCTGCAATCTTTGGGAAAATCAAAAGGCAGTTTGGGGATTTTGAGGTTGTGTTTGACGTCTAGAAAACGAAGAAAGATGTAATTAAAAAATCTGGTCTACCAGCACACGTAGTCAGGTGTCAAATTTAAACTAAAACTAATCCGAGAACTCTAGCTCGAAGCAAATGAGAAGAAAATGCTTCGGGGACCTTTAACAGAAAGAAAATATACAATAAAAGGTCATTATCGTCAAAAAGTTCTAGAAAGTCTGCAAACACCTTTTGATATTGCCTACCTTCTTCTTTTAGGAGAATTTCACATAGATTCACGTTTAGATTTTACGGCTTAACTCAAATAATTTACAGAATGTTCGCACATATAATGATCCTGTACGTCAACAAAACACTTTTTTTGCTCCTATTCAGTTTAACTGAATCCATCAAAATTCGCATGGGTGAATTTATTCACCGGTAAATATTTTCACCGGTGAATAAATTCACCGGTAATTTGATTGGAAACAAAATTGAGAATAGTATTATTCAATATGCCTGAGAAAAAGAATATGGTACAACAGAATGACGATGTCTGTATATATTCTTTTCTGTACTATACTTGACTTGATGTTTTTTTTCTTTCTATGCACACTATAGAGAGAGAGATAAAGCAACAAATAGAGAAAAGAACAAATTTTATCGTTTTATCAAAAAGAAAGATTCCCTTTACTATGAAATTAGTGTTTATTCTGGCAACTTCCGAGATTAGAAAGTTAACAAATTTCACGGTACCCTTCC